CGATATGCGACAATATCAAAAAGAGCCAAGATCTTTGGGATATAAAAAAATATTTTAAGTTTTATCAAAATCGGATAAAAATTATGACCTATAGAGTGTCCAACAAGCTAAAAATGTGTGTTATTGTACAATCAGGGGCCATAAACCATGAAGTTATGGTCCGTCAGGAACCAAGATCTTTGGGATATAAATATATATTTTAAGTTTCATCAAAATCCGATAAAAATTGTGACCTCCAGGCTGTCCACAACCTTGATATTACATACTTTTACACTATAAGCATACGAGGGGCAACCATTTTGTGGGGCAATTTCTGTCTGATTTACATGAAATTGGAACTCAACCATCATTAGGGCATGAATGGTTTTTAAAATATGAAAGCGATTTTTCGTACAATCAGGGGCCATAATCCAGGAAGTTACAGTCTGATATGGGCGAATGTGGATAGGAACCGAGATCTTTGGGATATGAACATACATTTCAAGATTCATCTAATTAGATCAAAATTGTGACCTCTAGAATCAGGGGCAATAATAATCCATAAAGTTATGGTCTGAAACATGTAAATATTAAAAGGAACCAAGATCTTTGGGAGATAAACCTATATTTCAAGTGTCGTCAAAATCAGATAAAAATTGTGACTTGTAGAGTGTCCACAAACAAAATATGAACGGACAGGGAAGACAACAATAATTTCATGTGGAGGTATAAAAATAATGGAAGGACAAGGGTGAAGTTGAATTTCAATAGTGTTCATTCCTATAATGCAGGTATTCAAAAGGTTCATATCTATGAGTGGTTTAACAAGTTATGACAAAATATTATATGTTATTTTATCAAATACGAAGACTATAAATAACAGACAAGTCTGGAAATAAGACACCTGTCAGACATTTTCAGATACAAATAAAAGCTTTGCCATGCACAGTTCCTTCGGTACCTGTAATATCGTCAGTGCCAGTTCATTTTGTCAGGTACAACTAAAATATTTATTTCAAGTCAGATATTAGATGTAATAATATGCACTCAGAAGTAGAAAAAGGCATGAAAAAACAATGAATATTTTATATATTTTGATAAAGGCAGGGGTTTTGATAGAGTCTGGTTGATCTACATGACTTGTAACCACTAAGGGCATCATGCAGTCCTTTTCAATCTTACAAATTAGAATTTCAACAATTTGATTTATCATTATCAGTTATTGTGTCCTAATGTCAACCACCGAGATATAAATATTTAATCTCATCTTGTTTAATGATATATCTAGTAAGTTCAATGGCTGATAGGCATTTGATTTCATTATTGAAATGTACAGGACTTTTTAATCCTTCCTTCATCCCCAAAACACTCATCGCAGCATAAATTTTTATATTTCTCCAAAACACTAGCATCTATGGAAATATATTCCACTATATATATGCCCTTCGGGCATCTCCGGTTTATATTGCATAATTCTCGTATTGACTGTATAAACAATTCAACTTTAAAGAAGAAAAGTATCTATCCACTGCACATTATCTGTGACCTATGACCCACGCACGATGCATATAAGGTTAGGTTGAATGACAACAAATGTCTTATTACTTGTTGAAATTACTGACTGTCACTACATGCTGTGTATTTCTATACTGTGGTATATCATCATTTTATATTAGCGATTGCTAATTGCTTATGCTGTGTATTTCTATACTGTGGTATATCATCATTTTATATTAGCGATTGCTAATTGTTTATGACTTTAGTATATAAGTACTTAGTAGTAGAATACGATCTTCAGTTTGTCGATTTTTGTTGATAACATCTGTTTTAAAGCTCAATCTGTTACGGGAGCTACTTCCGCTGCTTTTAATGTGGGATGTAATATTTCAGATATCCTGGCAGCGGGTTGATGGACAGGTGAAACGACTTTTAGAAAGCACTACCTGAGGGATACTAGAACCAAAGGTATCTGGTTTGCAGAAAGTGTTCTGCAACAGATGTAAATAATTAACCCAGGGATATATGTAAATGAATTAAATATATTAAATAGGGGGTTGGATGGCCGAATGATTAGCATGTGCGTGCTGTATCATGAGGTCTGTCATTGAGTCAAAGGGTGTGGTTTCGATTCCCCAGTTGTACGTGGCAAGGCGTAGGGTCGCCTGTCCAGCCTCGTGGGTTTTATCCGGGTCCTCCAGTTTCCTCCCACTGCTAAAGACCCCTACGCACAAGCGAATTATTGAAATAAAATTAAACCATATGTTTATGATAGAATGCGCACACGCTAACCTTCAAAAATTCTTTTGGGGGGGGATGACCCCATACCCATGCTAGAGGCTCCACGGTCAGTCATGCCGGGACATCATTTTACTGCACATGCCCCTGGTCGAGGAAACTGTCTCATTTGCTATAAATAGTGGGTTTTTTCTATCCGCCTGCATCTCCATTATTACACAACAAATGGTTGGACTGTTATGTGTCCTCTGGGTTATTTCACACATGGAACAAGTATGCAATGTCTTAATAAGATTGGTGCTGAAAAGATTGGTAATGATCCAAAAGCTTTCTAGTTCAACAGGGTTCTTCCTTTACCTTATAGAAAAATTTAACATAGTTTTTAAAAATTCTACCCAGAACTAAAAAGTCTACACACAAATGGTGAGAATTTTGATTGGAGAACCTAACAACAACTGTATGTGTAAATCATTCACAAAAAAAGTTTGACAGATGCAGGGGACACCAAAATGGGTCATCCACATTAAATCAAATACATGGCAACAGTAGGCCCTACATAGTCTAGAATTTCATGCATCCATTCTTATATTGGCACATTGCATAAAATATACAAAATGTTTACTACAATAACCAAAAAATAAAACCAATTTCAGTATCAGGCAAACTAACAATTTATCAAACCTATAGATAACAAAAAATTTCATCATTTGACATTAGATTTTTAAAACTCTTGCAACAATTTAGCTGAATCAGTCTGATGGTAATAGAAAAACAACAAATTGAAAAGATCAGGTTTTCACAAATCAGATCTCTATCATTTTACCATTACCAATAACAAATCAACAACATTAGCTGTAAAGTTATATATTGAATCAATACGATCTGTCAAGGTAATGTATTAATAGTATTTTTGCATCTAGTTACCCCTTAATGAGATATCGTATGATAAATTAATAAAGGCATTTGTATGAATGAAGGGTTTGTATGACTATAGGGCTGTATTTACTTCCATATTGATCTAATTAAAAAGCTTGTTGTTTTATGATGTACTATTCATACGTCCATTATTTGATAGATAAATCAATAAGATTAACGACTGATATGCCAATTAATCAAGTTAATTAACAATTTGCCAAGGTCAAGATGCCTGGGCTATCAAATGATTCACAAATCACTTTTGAAACACCAAAATCTCATCACAATGGTATGATGAAAAGCTATGGCTGACATGAGTGGTTAAATAGAACTGTAGAAACTAAATTAAAAGTTATGGCTGACATGAGTGGTTAAATAGAACTGTAGAAACTAAATTAAAAGTTATGGATGACATGAGTGGCTTATTAAAACAGTAAAACTAAATTAACAGTAATCTATAACAATATTATAATCCACTCAAAAGTTTTATCGTAAATTATTACTGTGAAAAACACATTAAAAATCTCAATTATCCTAGTGTTACTCTGAAAAACACATTAAAAATATCAATATTCTTATGTTTTTTTAGTTAATAGTTATATAATACTGACAGTTAGTGGTTTCCAATAAGACTACTTGTCTACTTGGCTGTCAGTCAATATGTTTAACTTAATGCATATTAAGGTGATTCCAATTTGACTCAGTAACCAGTGTTTTGAAGTCTGTAAAGGAAAAAAAGCACCTAATTGTGTGGGCTGTATGAAAACCGGGGTCCCTCCAAGTTTACAAGTACTTGTCATGCACATAAAAGAAACCTTTGGAATTCAATGAAGAGTAGGGACACTTTATAGATATAAATATTTCTGTCATCGATAGCCCAGTTGGTACAGAAAAATAAGATGTTAAACTCTATTTTATTTTCACAAGATACTGGTTTGGAACACCAAATAATCTTTTTACTGTACATAATAATATTATGTTTTAACATATGATGTTACATGTAAGTGCAATGATAGTACATTACTGTAATTGGGTAAAGTTATAACATAATAAGTGCATTATTGTGGGACCTGTCATGCATCAGTTATACTTCTTAAATGATTTCAATTAGCCTACAGGTTTTTGTGGGGGGTTTTTAAAAGAAATAATCATTTAATACAGGATATGTTTTTTTATATAATATTTTTTACAATAAGAAGCCAATATTGTTACATTTGACCTTTCAAGATCAGTTTTAACCTTTTACTACAACTTACATTTTACATTTTTTGGACAATATCTTATTTCATACATTTTAATCCTTGCAAATGTACTTGGATTTTACTGGATTAAAATATGACAGCAAATTGAGCAATACTCATTGGTGGAGGTAGCTTGTTTATGAAACGGGTTATAAATGAAATGGCCTTAAACCAACGTTTGGTTCATATCTTTCAGTCATATCAGGGAGACTTAAAAGAGAAAATATTCAATATTGTAGTTGTATATAAATTTACTATTTAATGCACAATTCATGTTTGTATTCGTGCCTTATTTAAACTAGATACATGTATGATAAATATAAACTTCTATTTAGTCTACTGTAAATTGAACCATTCATTACAATGCCAACTATATTAATAGTTACCGTTCCCAGTACAAACAAAATCATAAGTCAATGTTCTATCTGAATCAAATCTGAATATTTGCAAACAGAGTATGTGAGGGTTCTAAGAATTTAGTGGTGCATGTATAGAAATCCAGATTGAATACCATTCTTTTTCGTAGTGTTAATGGCATTATATTATGAAGAACTGAGTAATTATGTTAGAATTTTTTCATGTGTGTAAGTAGTCTTTTTAAATAGATTTGATTTGAAGTATTGTACTTACCAATATAGACCTGACAACTATCGGCGTTCCAACAATGTTGTACTTTTTTACCAGGCAATTTTGGACAGTGTTTTGGACAGATATTGACACACTCTGATTCATGTCTATTATTGAGAAAAAGATTATCTTCAGATTTAGCTGTTGCCGTTAATCGAGACCAATCAACAGTATTGATGTAACATAGTTTATTATTCTTCTCCAATCGAACTGCTCCTCTCATTATTACAGACAAACTTGTCAGTCCAATTTCTTCCAAGTCGGGCATCTCATAAACAACCAAGGCATAATTATACATGATATTCTCCCCTCGGATTACCGCTAGATTAGGAAACACATCACTTAATGTTCTCAAACCATGAACACGATAAAGCAGCATGTAACCTGTTATTTCTCTTAGTTTAGGGTAGGTATGTGGCTGAAATTCCATTAAAGTTATTTCTAAATTTCCTTCCACAATTGTACAATTTTCCAATTCTTCCATGTAATCTACATCACGCAACTTAATACTTGGGCAAACTGAAATAGAAAAAAATTAATTTGAGTTAGCACATTCATCAACAGTAATGCATCCAATGTTATTAGTGTTTATGTCACTACTTGAATTTCTTCAATAGATGAGGATTCTGCAAAAATAATAGATTTCTGGATTTTTTTTCCATAATATGGTAATATTATATATGTTTGTACATGTATGATATGATAATGGCCAAAATATTTTGTTCCTTGATAGAATTATTTTTTTCTATTCATTAGGGATAAATTCAATATGAGATGTGAAGTGATTAAATTATACACCTGTTTGAGAAAGACATGTAGATCTGTTTACTATTTCCATAAAAAAATATTAATAATTTCTTGTAATGTGACTACATGTTTATGGACTAAATCATCTTCAATACATAGCATACTTTGTTTTAATGAAAATTCTCAAATTCCTTGACATCTTAATATATAGATAATAAATTAGTCCTGTATTTTAGTCCTGATACCACAAACACGTTTCATACTGTGACAATGAGCTTTATTACAAAATTACCAGAACTCTTTGATTTGGGTCAAAAGCTGACACCACTAAACCAAAAAATGAAATATAAAATTAGTAAACCAACCAAATTATGATTAATTTTTGAAAATAGTATAGAGCTTGCAATATCACTAATTGAAAAGCTAGGTTAAAGGTAGGTTATGAAACTATGCCCACAACAGCTATAAATTAAGTCACCTGAGGGCAGTCCACTAGATTGTGAATCGATCAGTAAATAAATAGCAAAATCTCTATACTGTATATACGGATTCTCTTCAAGCACATCAGATGATAATAGTCATTGATTATTGTGCTCATAAAATTTTACAAAGTCAACAAGGCTGATACATTTAACTCCAGAATTAAATAACAGAAATTGTTTAAACTAAAAATGGGCTTCTTAGTTTCACTAATTCGAAGAATTACTATACAGTATTGTTAAAATTTGATAGAATATTCACAATATATTACCCCATTTCAATGTCAAGGATACACAAGAGTTTGTATCAAACTTACATTTGTTTGGTTATTGTTATATATGATAGACTGGTTAGAGTTGACAACCAATTTATAATTACTGTTAACATTTTGGTTGACTGGTTGTTAAGTACTTTAACGGTTATAACTATTGTCACTGTCCAGTAGTTTATGATGAAAAGTGATTAGAGTTTTCCCCAGGTACATGTAATGAACCTTTATTTATATGATCAAGTCAACAGTGCATGTATAGGCCTAATGAACCATTATATATAAAGGCAGGCAAAATGATCACTGTGCATTTAACTTCATATTTTATAATGGCATGGCTCTTGTGGCTAGGTTTTGTCGCGTTGTTGGCCAAGAAAACTCTCTGGGATTTTCAAGCCCTTTTCAGTGGTGCTGGATGAAGGGTCTAGCAAGTATAAAGTGTCTAGCAGTTTGGATGGAACGGTAAACCTAGGTCCACCTATGTACACATAGACATGCACATTAAAAGAAGTCATGTTTGATTTAAATGTGGAGCAGATGGAAATGATGCTGTCCGGGCAGAATTCCCCTTACATGTATAGCACACTGAATGGTGTATTCCTGTCTTATGCAGAAAAGTAAGATGTAAAATCTCATTTCACTTCATCTGTCGCTATCATTTTGTAAAAGTTTCAAATGGGACATCTACATGTACAAGTATTATGCAGTTTACAATGATAACCAGAATAATCAGCCACCTGTTTATAGAAGAGATTTTCACACTGAATATGTCATCTCAAGTATTTTCAACTATACCTAATACTAACATGACACACTGCCATTATTGGGGATTCTAAACTCTTAGAATATGGTTAAACAAGCACTGAAGACTCAAACTGTCATTACTTGAGAATCATTACAAGTTAAAGAATGCAATACAATCCTATTTTATATTTTGTCTTCAACAAAGCTCACAAGCAATAGCAATGAATCTAAAAACCCAAGATTTCAAGTGTTAAGTTGATGCCATATATTGGAACTTGGAGGAAATGATTTGTGTTATAAAAGTCTTCAGTGAAATGATTGAATACAATAATGATCACATTCTGTTGAAATAACAACAAAAAAAAGGATGTTGAGCATGAAAAGATGATCAAATCTCCATGTTATCAACAATTATTTAAAACAATTTTAAATTGAACAACCAAAAAACACCATAAGAATCAATTTAATGTTTAGAACTAAAATGCCTAAGAGTGAAAAGTGAAAAGGATACATAAGATTTTATACCAGACATGAAATAAGCTAACTATCCAGTAGCCATCATTATCCTGGGTCAGACATAATGTAAATTATATCGAGATTTATAGAATATCTATTAGTATTACAATTAAGTAGCAACTTGTCATACAAAGAATTAACTACAAAATCTTCTAAATAGACAGTCTTCTTTCTGATTAATATTAATTCAGAATACAAATTTCACAGACCCCATGATGACAACTTTGTCAACTTTAGAGGTTCAAGTTATTAAAAATTGTTGAAAATTTAAAAGTTTTTAATCTTTAGTCCCCTGAATAGAAACACTGTGTATAAATTTCACAAACCCATCGGATGATAACCTAAACCCAGATGAATAACATGGAAATTAATTAAGAAAATTATTGAAAAGCATTAGATTTCTTCATTTTCAACAAGCGGTTGCCACGCAAGGTATGCCCACATTTTGCAAGAGATGGACAGAGAACAAGCTAAAAAAAAAAAAAAAAAACGTATATGATGTAAAATTATAGGTCCACAATCTTGATATTCCATACATTTACACTATTTGCGTATAAGGAGCGGTCATTTTGGGGGGCATTTTCAGTCTGATTTTCATGAGGGACCACAAGCCAAAAAAGCTACTTTTTGTAAAATTATGGGCCATAATAGTAATACAGGAAGTTACAGTCCAATATGTGCAAATATTAAAAGGAACCGAGATCTTTGGGTTATAAACAGACATTTCAAGTTTCATCAAAATTAGATAAAAATTGTGACGCATTTTGTTTCACACAATCAAGGGTCATAATCCATCAAGTTACTGTCCAATACATGCCAATATCGAAAGGAACCAAGATCTTTGGGAGATAAACCTATATTTCAAGTGTCATCAATATCGTATAAAAATTGTCATCTATAGACTGTCCACAAACAAAATGTGGATGGATGGACAGGGGCGACAACAATATACATCCACATGAAAATGTGGGCATATAAAAATTGTTCAGATTATCTGTGTCCAGACTCGACCGTGTAATTGCCCCAAATTCTGGAGTATCTATAGGTTCCCATGTGTCTTTCTGGGACCCTAGAAGTCTTGTTTTAAAAGGTAACTCTCTCTGCAAGCTGATACATGTAGCTGGTCCATAGGATTTGAATATTAGGTGAGGGCATGATTGTAAAATAATTCAGTATTAGATACTTTGAGTTTTCGTCAAATTGAAAGTGTGAATATAGGTAATCTGTTAATCTTTTCTTCTTAATGACATGCGATATAATGTTTCTAAAAATTTGACTGGCTACCATGTCTTTATACTGGCCACCTTGATGTTACGCACTCATTTTACATGTATTAGAAAATGTTATTTCATGAATCACAACCTGCCTTGACTACCAATATGTTTTATATTCGTATCAACTTTATATATATATTTAATAGGTATATGATGCTGTGTGTAATAATATTCTATTGTCATAACAACCCATAATAACTTTGTTTTTTATTTAATCTCCTAGCGATATTTGTAGATGTATGTGTAGTTTTTATCTTGACATCTGGGTAATCTAATGTCAACCCGTTCCACCCACATAACAACTGATATTTCACACACAAAATTATCATTTATCATTGTAGCAATTTCACCCAATAGATCAAACACATCCATATATAACAAATTAGATTTCCACAGCAGTAGACAACGGTGGATGAGTATTGACAGAATATGGTAATAATATCATGGACATAAGTGACATGTCAACCTAAGATCATGACAATCTTCCAACATCTGACATACTTCGTTTGTCTGATGACATGCATTATCCGTGCATAAAAATAACACGTAATTTGATACCTGTTATGACAATGGTTGTCTATAGAAACTGACAATAGACCTACTAGGCTCATGCTACATTTAAATGCCATATTGATCAAAAAATGAAGTGGAGCTGGAAGTGATCAAAAGCATTAAATTATCGACAATGTAAAATTAAATACAAATGAAAGCTATCATATCACCTGATACTCTATCTTGTGTTTGTAAATCTATTGATTATAAATTGAATTTAAAGCTTTTCAAATAATTTACACAGGACATCAAACAGAGATGTTTTCCATAGCAAAATATTTTGTCATATTTCGTTAAACAAACACTTTTTTTGAATGAATGAATGAATGAAATGGGTTTTTATGTCCTACTTTTCTGCGTCGATTGGGCTACAGGTATTCACCATATAGTGTGCTATGAAAGAAATTGTGCCTGGATAGCGGCACTACGGTCTACTCTGATTTCAAATTCCAACTGTTGGGTTCTTTTACGTGCACACCAATGTATACACAGGCCCTCCCCGTCCTGCACCAAGAGAAAATCCTAAGCAACTTTCTCGAACAACATCGGGGGGGCGAACCCGAGACCTCCTAGTTAGCAAGCCAGCATGTTACTTATATCTACTGAGCCACCGCTCCTGGGACTTATCCTTTAATGCATTGCTTGAAGATAATGTATTTTAATAACCTGTTACATTGTTTCAATGACATTTAGTAATTGAACTAGAATATACAGGTCACAATTTTATGGAATACATTTACTAGTGACGTTTCGACTAGGCTTCTCTAGTCATTATCATTGCTTGACAATGACTAGAGAAGCCTAGTCGAAACGTTGCTCAGTAGTAATTGTATTCCATGGAATTGTGACTTGTATAACACATACTACATGTACATTCAATATCTAAGTTTTATTTTAACTCAAAAAATTTGATTTTTCTCTAACTTAGTAAACAGGAA